CGTCAGCTAAAAAAACACTGGAAACACCAGCAGCTGAAGAGAGCATTCGGAGGATACGTTTAAGAATGACCAGGTCTTTTTTCAGTAAAGCTGGAAGAATAACTGTGTGGAGAATGTAGGGTAGATTCCGCGGAGTCTAATTTCACCAAAAACCCGCGTTGAGTCACCGCGCTTGCCTTCAGCTCGCTAAACTTCGCGGTTAACATAGTCGAAACCGCCGGTCAAACTGTCGTGCGGCTCGTAGCTCACGCATCTGTCACTTCTTAGGAGGAGTTCGTCCCCAAGAAACTCCGAAAGTATGATCGCGTCCCGCTCTTACTGCCACTGCGTGCTCGACCCTTATTTGTAACTGTCTTTGATGATGGGTGTTGAGGAGAATTCGAAACTCCAGACCAATAAACTTCTTGTTCCATAGGTCGCGTCTTATTCTGAGACGGGGTATTTCTACAAAAAGCTGTCCTTTTGCATATATATGATCGGAGGGTACACCTGTCTCTGTATGCTTCAACCCCTGTCCACCTGACTGTAGTCATCTTTATGTAAAGTCCGTCTCAATTCTTACTGTGTACAAAATACCTTTGAAATGGACATACACGACCGATCGGCGTCGATTTCGACTAGGTCTACCGTATGCTTTATCACAGGGTGGTGCAGGGACGGTGACTTGCGCGTGTATTAGTTTTCAGTGGTAGTAGACTTACACAACATCTGCCGCACTCTCTCTTCCATCACTCACATGTGTCCGGTGTCAAGATAGAGTTAAGAAGAGTGGAGGCGGAATCGAGCTCAGTGGCTGACGGGCCAGCACGACACACTTGGCCACCGCTTAGGGAGCCGTCGCCGTCTTACTCCCAGTCCACTCATCAGCCACAAGACACACTAGACTGATGGGTCTGGTAAGGCGTCAGTTTGTAATGCCATAAAGCAAGATCGAGGTAATCGTTACAATGCAGGCTATGCGAAGGAAACCGAGAGGATACCTTACCTTTCGCTGGATGTGCTTTTGTTAGTGTTAAAAGCTAAGCTGTCACTATTCCGTCCTCTCCTGTAGTCTGTGTCTTTTTTTCCTCTCTTTAGGCCTCTTGGGGCATATTTGACAAACAGAAAACTCTTCGACAGGCCCTGTCGGAGAGCCTCGTCGCCTGTGAGTCTGCCTTCTTTCGCGTTTGGCGTGACTACGAGACCGTGCAGGCTGCTGACCAGTACTGTCTTGATGACCGACAACTCCTGCGTGACTGGAGAAGCGTTCTTGACGCTGCCAGACAGCCACGTAAGACTCATCCTCCCTTGCCCACTTCCTTCAAACAGTCAAAATGCTTGTTGGTTGTGTCAGGTTTGTCTGCACATACCAGCTCTAGGAAGCACCTACTGCGCGGACTGTCCGGTATCCAAGTAAAATTTGCTATGGAATAAGGGCGCTCACCCATCTGGTTAGGGACCATGCTCGTCCTATTGTGCCTTGAGGTTCAATCTAGAGCCCTCGTAGGCGGTCGCATAGCGACTTGCCCACTATGATGAAGTGGAACACGGGAGACCGGAATGAACATTTCTGGCACATTAGCCGTCATCAGCTAGTCATACCCAATCCCAGGTGTGGATCACCCGAGACTTTGGCCATAGACTACAACTCTCTACCACGAGCTCATTGCTTTTGTCTGCCGCGATCGGTTGCTACTAAATCAGAAATGTCAATACAAGCGAATATGCGTGTCCCAGGAAGCAGTTGAGAAGAAGAAGACTCGATCGCTGGGACAA